AATGGAGAATGAAATCTAAAATCTGAGAAATGAAATCTAAAATATGAGAAATGAAGATGTAGAGAAGATATGGTGTGGGAGGTATGAGCTGAGCCTATGGTTTTATAGAAAAATTTAGACAGATAGAGATGACACGTGACACAATTTTAGAGGATGAAAATCTTATCTGAAATTTGAAATTCAAATGAAATTTGGAATTGGAAATTTATCTGGAATTTGAATTTCGAAATGTATTGAAATTCAAATTTTGAATTTATCTGAAATGTGAATTTTGAAATGTATCTGAAATTTGAAACTGAAAATCTTATCCGATATGAATAGTATTGACACGTAGGAACCCAAAAATCTTATCCGAAAATATTATCCAAATTAATTGTTTAAATTAACAAAGTTGTGAAAAAAACAAAAAAATGAATAGTATTTGCCATGGCAAGGGACTAACTGCTGAAAACACACATTTGCTGGGGGGAGCTAGGGGCAGCCACTATTCACGTGAATAGTAGCTGCCCTAGGACTCCCCTTGCCATGGCAATGGGCTAACTGGTAGAAGTGCTCTGAGAAGTGGTTTTCTTTTTTGTTTGGTTTTTTTATCACAAAACGTCCCTCACGTTTGTAAAACTATCAAATTGCATTTTTAAAGTTTTATTGTATCATTCATGGTTCCTAAAATTAATATATGTGCTCTTAAATAGTTCATCTATTAAAAAAATAGTTAAATACAAGGATATAATCGTCAAACAAATCTAAAATTATTATATATATAAAAGTTTCTCTCCCCTCTTTCTTTTTTGTTCCCTTTCCTTCTCTCTTCTCTCCCCCCCCCCCCTTTTTTTTTTTTTTTTTTTTTCTTTTTTTTTTTTCGTTCTTCCTCTCCCCGAGTTCAGAACTGCAGTGGCGAAGAAGAGGATTGGGAGGGAGATCAAGCTTCTCTTTCTTGGGGTTGGGTTGGGATATTGGTGGGGATTGGGACGGGATCGCCTTTTCAATGTTCTCCTGGGCTTGGGACTGGAATTGGGAGATTTGAAGCTGCTGCTGCTGTTGTCGAGGCAGAGCATGGACAAGTGTTTGCCAACCACTGCTGCGTATTCTTCTTCTTCTTCTTCTGGTTGTGGGTTCTTAATGTTCTGGTCACTGCATTCAGCCATTAATTCTTCTTCAACAAATTCTTATCTCTGAAATTAATTGATTCTTCTTCTTCTTCTTCTTCTTTTGGTAGGGAGGGAGAGATTCTTGAGATTCTTGAATCTTTTATTTTAATAATTGGATGCAGAGTTGCGAATGAAATGCCTCCTCTCTCCTATATAAATATAGCGATATATATATATATATATATTTAACGGCCTGCGATAGTCTGTTTCAACTTTCAACTTTGACGATTGATGGAAGAAAGAGGAGGGAGAATACTGAATTGGGGGAGAGGAAGAAAGAAGAAAAAAAAGAAAGAGAGAGAGGAGAGAAGGAAAGTAAATAGAACAGAAAGAGGGCAGAAGGAAACTTATATATATTTATATATATATTATAATTTTGGATTGATTTGATGATTATATCATTGGATTTAATAATTGTTTTTTGACAGAATGACTATTTAAGAGCACATATATTAACGTTAAAGATCATGAGTAATACAAAAAAACTTTAAAGATGCAATCTGATAGTTTCGCAAACGTGAAGGACGTTTTGTGATAAAAAGCCTTTTTCTTTTGGTTGTAAATATCACCAATTATGTAGTTGTTTACTTGTGACCAATATGTAATATCAACAATATTTTTTATTTTGTTGTTTTAATTTTTTCTTTTCTTTTTAGGAGTGACAACTGTTTAGAACTCTACGCTTGGGAAAATGTAAATTTTTTGTTGTTATTCTAATTTTTAGTTTAGTCTACCATTGTACCCTTGTTTAATAATTCTATTTTCTTTTAAAATTTTAGCTAAGTAAAGGATATTTGCTGGAACCAATGGGATGTTAGTTGGAACGATCCAGGTATTTGGTGTGCTCCCAAGTGGTTCGTATAAACCTCTTTACTTGAGTTTCGCCTTCCTCTTTCTAACTTTGGCGAAAAAAATGGGCATTTGTTGAAATAACTTTTGACAAATAGATGAAGACTTTTTAATGTATAAAGTTAAGCATGCGTAGAGGATTTTTAAAATTAATACATTGATCATTAATGCATGCATGGCTTGCATTTCATCAACAATTAGAAATTTTTTCGCACTCCCTTACACTTTCGCCTTCACAAAATCTTTTGTAAAATTAACACTATTTACAAAAATTTCACTCTTATTTATGTGGAGCTAGAAGTTTCATTTTTCCAACAAAAGAAATGGAGGGATGAAATATAAAACAGAAATAATATATATATCAACACTATATATGCTGACCTCTTTGGAGAATATTACAGGAGACAGGCACTGTTATTCCCATTGCTCACCTCCTTCTTTATCCCTCACAATCAAAATTTCAAACCACTCTTGTCCTCAATTGTTTATTGCGAGGATCGCTAATTAAAAATGAAGAAATGATTAGATGCTGACCTTCACATTTGACCATGTTATTTCTTGGAGTAATCATTCACTTCTTTTGACAATAACCAAGAAGAAAAAAAGGGCGAACCTTCGTAAGTTGGAACCTTGCCAAAACTTTTGAGAATTAGAATTCCTGAATTTTTGGTTAGGTCTTCCTCATCAAATACTTGTATTTAGTTTAATAATTTTCCCATAAGTACTTAATTTCATATATAATTAAGCTGCCAAGAGCGACATTTTTATTATTATTCAGAATTGCTTTTAACGATTTTTAAAATCTGATAGACAAGATTTTCATGCTAAAAAAGGGAGGGGACCTGAGAATGAATAGTAATGTTATTTTTTAAAAGATATGTTAATGGTATGTTGGGACAATGTCTAAGACATGATTGATTATGTTTATACAGCATTAACTAATCAGCTTTCCAAATCTTTACCGTTTATATATATATAATTGCTTTCTGGATCCAGTTGTTAAGATATAATACTGTATGCATGGAGAATATGAATGTTAAATTTCTAACCAATCGAAAATCTCTAACTATTTCATCTATCAAGTGATCTTACTCCTATATATATATATATATATGTCATACTTTCATTGAATTCGAATAAATTAACTTTCAAAATATGATGTATTAATTTCAATAAAAAAAAAAGATAATTATATTTTAAATAGTTAAGAGCAATCACTTATGTTCTGTATTCCCTCATCTCGATATGACTTATATAATTGAAATAGACATGTTCAATAAAAAACTTGAAGGAATGAGCAATTTTTGTATTTTCTATTATAATTAAGAAATAAAAACTTGAAATCTGTAGGCCTCAAGTCATTGCTTAATTTCTCTGTTAGGCATTAGTTCTGTTTCATCCCAAAAAAATAAAATAAAATAAAATCTTGTTCAAGCTTTTAACCCATATACATATAGTAAATTTAGGTTTTAGCCAAATTTTTTTTTTCACTTTTGGAAAAAGCCAAAGTTTTTTCAAAAAAGACAGAAATACTCTATCAACTTTCAAATCAAAGATATGCAAATGTAAAGGATTCCTTAGGAAATCCAAAAATAAATAAGGGCAATTTTGTCCATTTTGGCTTCTTTTACAAAATTTCTCTCTCCTTTGTGTTTTTCCAAAGTCTCCCTAAGCATATTGACTTGTGAGTTATGAGTCGTTTAATTGGAAGTTTCCTTTAAAGCAAAAAACAAAAAAACACCAAAACAAAATAAAATGGTAAAAAAGAAGAAGGAAATTCCAAAATCCGTTGTAAGTCCCATTCCATACCTTGCACGGCATGACAAAGGAGAAAAGTCAATTCCAAATCACAGAAAGCTGTTTTTATTTTTTTTATTATCCAATTATTTTTGATTTAGACAGTTTGAAAAAAAAAAGAAAAAGAAAAAAAGAAGCAGAAAGCGAAACACAGCAGTACGAGACGACTATTAACTGCAGCTCTGAAACTAGAGGAACGGAAAGCCATAATATTTTCATCTTCCTCCTCTCTTCTCTCTCTCCCTTCATTTGTGCTGCAATCACCACAAGTGAGGTTCTTCATGTTTGAATTATCTTGTATTCTATCTGGGTTTTACCTGTACCTTTGATGTCTGGTAGCTGAGAGAATGTAAGAAAAGCTTACCTTTGATCTACCCATTGGAAATAAAAAGAAGAAAAAGACTTTGGATCTGTTTCTGGCCTCTTGGTGCTTAAGACCAAAAGAATGGTGTGTTTTTCTTATATAGTTGTTATACTTCTGAGTAAATGAGTTTTAGTTATTTTGATTCAATCAATGAAAAGCTCATAGTTTGACTAATCCAAGTACTTGAATTATGTTGGCATTAGCTTCTGCGTGCAAAAGGACACTTCAAGGTGGAAATATAGCAAAACCCAGGTTCAATTCCATTGGAAAGTTATAAAGGTAATATTCAAGAAACTTATTCATAACCATCATCATCATCTTAATCTTCATTTTCAATTTTGGTGCCTCCTAGATTGATTTATAAGATTTACAGTTGCTCAAACCCATAAATCTCTTCCATTTCTTCAATAATTTCTCTTTTAAATTGCTCCAGAATTATTTTTGTCTTATAATTGAGTTCAATGAGAATTAGAGTGATAGTTCTATTACGAAAATCAACTTTCATGAACTTAAAGGTCTAAGTATTGATATTAGATTGACCTGATGTATTACAGAACTGAACTTGATGGATCTTGAAGGACATTAGATTCTATGCTGTTACTAGGCTGCATTTCCAGACCTTACTGTTACTGGTTGTCCTTGTAATGTTTCCCCTTAACTTATAGATTCTGGCATATAGATTTTAATTTTAATTTTGCTTTTCGTGCCTCAAGTATGGAACGCTAAATTTTCAAAAGACAGGCATAGGCTATAGTCAAAACTTAAAATGTGCTATGGATAGATGCACAAACTATTCTTTATCTTTTATGATTATTAATCGAGGTTGTTTCCTATTGGAAAAAGTCCCTTTTTGAACATTTTTTATCTCTTATATACATATGGTAAGGACTATAAGCTAACTACTAAAAAAATTAAGTCAAGACTTGTATACGGAAACTACAGTGTGTTTGAGGAGAATGATTTCAGGTAAATATGCGGCTATTGCATATGCAAACATCTTCAATTATTATTGAGGATGAGATTCTGCGGGCTGTCATCTTTCTATTCGAGTTCCTAGGTAGTACATGTTGATTAAAGAGGCCACGTAAATGTGCAGTTCAGATTTCTAAGCTTTGATTTTTGTTAGGGTGTCTTCTTGTTGAAGTCAATGACTAATGCATTTCTCATCAAACAGTTGTAGTTACACGCTGAGAAGATTATGTTTACTTGTGTGCTTTGACAGGGCAAGGATTTTGATTGGTTGGTGATACTGGTCAACATAAAAAGCTGGTGATGACTTGTTTCTCTTTCTTTTTTAGGAAGAAGGCAGCTTCCTCAGTTACAAGGACTGTTGAACTTGATGAAGGTACTGTGGATGTCTTTATTCTGCCGTTCCTTTATTCAATTGTGAACATACTTTCTGTGTCAATGTTAGTTGCTTTGGCACAATGCCAGCTGTCAAATTAGCCGCTCACTGCATTTGTGAAATAGATGACTTTTCTAAGTCATACATAGATCTACCAAATCAGGCGGAGCTTTTTTCTGTGCTAAGTGATTTCATTATATTAATGTTAGTTACTGATTTTTATAAACCGATAATCTGAAGCATGAATGGAATCACCTTTATTCCGAAGAGTTCTAAGTTTGCTGCTATTCGAAGCCTATTTTATCAATTTGCATCCATCCAGATAAATTGTTCTCTTTCAACTTTTTTTATTGATGACCGGGCCTCTTTTCAGAATCTTGAGAACCCTGGCCTTCTCAGCTGGCCACATGGTCATGCTAAATGGACTGTGATCCTTAATTTTGAGTCTGCAGATTGCTTTCTATTTTACTAGATTTTGCTTGATCCTTAATTCAAGGTGTGCTTGTTTTGGCCGTTCTCTTGAATAACTTTAGTACAACTGCACAAATGATTAGTTTTGCTTACTTTCTTCACAATGTATGCACTCAAGATTTTTGATGCAACCTCGTTTTGTTTACTTTGATTCTATTGCACAAAACTTTGTTAATAAGTCCTTGGCGTTTAACTTAAATTTGGATGTCAGCATTTTCAACAAAAAGGAACCTCGCTTCTTTCAGAGGTTTAGCATTGTATCTTTATCCTACCTAAAAGCTTCTAACAGGGTCCTCTGGGTACAGTGGTTTCAGGCATTTTAAATGTTACTGTGTACACTTACAAGGAACTGCGAATTGCCACTGAGAACTTCAGTGAAGAAAATAAAATTGGTCAGGGAGGCTTTGGCTCCGTGTACAAGGTAACTGCCCTTAGAAAGATATTGTTGATGACTTTTGTGGAATACTTGGTCATGAGCACTTGATTGTGCTAAAGACTTTTTGCTGACGTTTACCTCTACAGGCTGACAGATATTTGTAAAATGTGTTTGATCAGGGAACACTTAAGAATGGCACTTTGGCAGCTATAAAGGTATTGTCAGCAGAGTCTAGGCAAGGGTCCCGGGAATTTTTGACAGAAATCGAGGTGATTGCAAACATTGAGCATGATAACCTGGTTAAGCTATATGGTTGCTGTGCAGAAGGCAATCATAGGATATTGGTTTACGGCTATCTCGAGAATAATAGCCTTGCACAAACACTTCTTGGCAAGTAATATTACTTAGTTCTTATTTGAATAAATTGATTGTGTGAGTAATGACTTACTCTCTCTGTACTTTATAGGTGGAGGCCACAGTAGTGTCCAGTTTAGTTGGTCGGCAAGGTGTAAAATATGCATTGGTGTTGCAAGGGGGCTTGCTTTTCTCCATGAGGAAGTTCAGCCCCATATTATTCACAGAGACATTAAAGCTAGCAATATTCTCCTTGATAAAGACCTCTCACCAAAAATTTCAGATTTCGGTCTGGCAAAGTTTATTGCACCCAACTTAACTCATGTTAGCACTCGTGTTGCTGGAACAGCGTAAGTTTTCCAGTTCCAGTTCTACTCTTTTTCAATGTGTTTAAATTTACAGTGGCCATCAGCAAGGGAATGGATGATTGTGGGCCTCAGTCGATTGTAAAGATATAATGTAAAAATTATAGTTTGAAATGTAATGACCAAAAAACAAAATCTATTGTGCTAGTGAAATGTTTGGTATGGGCTGCATGGTGTTCTATGTCAGTCAACAGCGATTTGTTCATGTTGAAGGTTGTTGGAACGTGAATGCAGCCCTAAATTCTGGTTTAAACATTATCATAGATGTCTTCAAATATGTGACCATGATCAGATAATTATACAAATTGACCTTTGAAGTCTTGCCCATAAATTTTCACTAAACTTTTTATCTCCTTTTCTTTTCACTATTACCAGATTACTTGTGATTATGTTGACATACTTGGTTCCCTGTTTGATTTTTGCAGAGGTTACTTGGCACCTGAGTACGCCATACGAGGTCAAGTGACAAGGAAAGCAGACGTCTACAGTTTTGGTGTTCTGACCTTGGAAATTATTTGTGGGAGGTGCAACACAAACAGACGATTACCATTAAAAGAACAATATCTTCTTCCATTGGTATGAACCTTTCTGAAATATTGTATAATTCTATGAATTAGTATTTGCTTTCATGACTAAATTGAACCCTTTCGACTGGCTTATAGATTTTACTTATATAAGATTTATTACATTAACATGTGTGGGAGTGATGATCCTTGATGAACCTAGTGTGTGAACTTTTTTACTTGAAGTGCTACTAAGCATGAATATTCAGTTCAACTTCACATTCATCTACAAACAGGGTATATTTTACCCAGTAAACTTCTGCATTTCTTTAGATGTACATTCATCTACAAACAGGGATTGTATTTTACCCTATAAACTTCTGCACTTCTTATTCTAGATGTGCAACTTCACATTCATCTACAAACAGGGCTTATATTTTACCCTGTAAACTTCTGCATGTTTTATTTTAGATAGCTTTGTGCCCCAGCTCCCCCTCACTGAAACAGTTGCCTCTTTGTGACTGTATCATGTATTCTCTTAAGATTGCTCTTACAGTTGTAGGAGAGGGCAAAAATTAAATTTCTGATTTTCTATGGAAGATGTATTTCCTTTCACAGTGTTTGAATCCTCGAAAGAAAACAGTATAAGAAAGACTAGGCATTTACTCTGTAGTTAAGGTGCACTAGCCTTGTAAGAAAGCTTGCGAATTTCTTGGCCAGCAGTAATGATAAAACTGATGTTAACAACTTTATGGCAATTCTTTTGCTGATTAATGGCACTATAGCACATGTAAAAGAATTGTCATGATCACAACCTTATAACTTTCAAAATTCTTTTGATGGATCTCTTTTTCCCCACCAAATTCTGAATAGTTATATAACCTGGATATTCTAGCTTTCTTCCTTATAATTATTTTAGTTCATCAGAACCGTTTTTTATATAAAATTGTTAATTGACTCAAAACATCATAGATTGACTTGATAGCTAATTACTTTCCTTCAATTTGTGGGGTATCAATATTAATACTAGAACATGGTTCTGAGACTATGTGACATGTTTGTTCATGACTGCACCAGAGCCTCTTGATGAATCCATCAAGCTTCTTTAGGTGCTTATTTTTAGTGAAAACCCTTTACGTTTTTTTTAAGGTTAATGATCTCTATTAGCTATGAAATGGTTGATAATTTTGCAATTTGATAGAATTACTACTAGAATCTTGGGAAGACTTATCAAATAAACGTTTGTGTTGCAGGTATGGGAGCACCATGAGAGGGAGCAACTGGTGGAGTTAGTAGACACAGCATTGAATGGAATATTCAATGTTGAGGAGGCTTGCAGATTCCTAAAGATTGGTCTTCTCTGCACTCAAGACATGCCCAAGCTCCGACCATCCATGTCTACTGTTGTTGAGATGCTGACAGGTGAAAGAGATGTGAATGAGGAGAAGATATCCAAACCAGGACTGCTTTCTGAATTCATGGATCAGACAGAAGGCCACAGAGATAAGGCCAATGCAAGACCTTCATCTGACACAGTATCTGCCTCAGGGAGGTTTATCAATACATCATCTTCATCAGAAAACATAGCTACTTCATTTGCTACTATGACCTTCAATTCTATATATGACCGAAGCAATTAGGGCAGGCAGAATCTCTTTTTGGTTATTGTCTGGTTTGGCCAAGCAGTCAGCATATTAATTCTTCTAGGTTAATATCATTTTTTGCTTGGGTATGTCTTGAGTGCATTGGCACACCTGTTAGGGGAACAAGTAGTAATATGCTATGAAAGAATACTTTTGTAGGGCTACAGTCGGTGTAAATGTTTATAATCAATTAACTTTTTCTTTTCCTGCTTTGTAAAGAAAGTTTGACTATATGAACAATCCTTCCACCCCTTTCTTCAGTTCCAGGCATTTTGTATAGACAGGGCCTCATTTTCATTCGCATTAATCATTTTCTTTCCAAGTTTTACCCGACTCGAACTGCACTCCGAAATAAGCTTCCTACACTCTTTGTAAACTCAGGCACGAGAAGTGCATGAGGCTTACTCAAATTGGAATTTGTTCTAGCTACAAATGAAAATCAGGTCATGGTTGACCAGCAAAGGGGCATTGGAGCCTTCTCATGGCAGCATCTATTTGTGACAGAATCATTTCTCAGCTAAGTTAAATTATTTAATTATATATGATGATGAAGTAATTTTTTGGGTAAGGTGGCATGCCAACTTCAGCTAAGTTTCTTGATTTATGGTGCACACGTCTTCAGAAATGGTTATTCTCTTCACTGGATAATAGAACTGTTGATGAACATTGAAATGGAATCAAGATCATACAACTTTGATGAATTCTGTCTAATCTGATTCCGCTTGAATTCGGATGCGTGGTACGAAATTATGAGGAATCAGGATATTTTGAAGGCATGCGAAAATCAAAATTTTAAAATTGATCCAAACTGGCACCAATAACGTTCTATGAATCAGGATGTTTTGGATTTGAGTCACCAAACCCAGTTTTGGAACAGAGTAAGCAGTACATGATACAATAGTTTGATCATCCTAAAAAGAATATACAAAAGAATTAAAAGGAGAAATAACATTAACGATTGTATATCCTTGTGTAAGAACTATCTAGCTAGTCTCTGTTTCTGCAGCATCTGTACCACAGAACGAGAAAACAAAGCACTCTATAACCAATTATGAAACCAAACATCACAGCTAAATTGCTCCACTTTTGTGTCTCCCTTAAACCCTGTTGTCTTAAGAATCCATCCCCAAATAGATTGCATCCATCTTTGTCAATTTGTATGCACCTTCTTCTCTGCTCGCCTCCATACTCATTTATTATAAAACACTCAAAAGGGTACTTGAAAAGACTTGAGTAGTGCATGAAAATCCAGTAACTTGGTATGCTATCCTTCGATATGAAGTACCCAGAAAAGAGAAAGAAAGATCCCATGAGCCCTGAAATCAATGAAGTTCCCATGATGAAGTTTGGCACGAGAGCACTGAAACAAGCCACAACAGAATTGGACATCAGAAGAACCATCCAGACCACCAGAGAGAAGTAGAGAAATCCATCAATGTTCCTCCTTAATCCAACCAACCAGTAAACTGGAGTGGAATATAGAAGACCAACCATGAAAAGAAAAGGAAGAAATATGAGGGTGTTTGCTATAACATAGGAGGAAACTCTATAAGCTCCTTTGGAAGTCTCACTCATTAGAATTCTTCTCTCTTGTAAGAAAATTGGTAAGCCTTCTGTTGTGGAAGATAGCAAGAAGGTGAGGCTGAAGGCAAAAAATCCAGTTTGGGTTTGTAAGGCAATGCTTCCTTTTTCCCTGCCAACATTTAAGAAAATGGTCCCAAGTACCAACCCAGCTACCAAGGCTTGTATGACTCTTGTGACAAACAGTTGCTTGGTTCTAAATATGTTGCTGCAAAATCTTTGTCCTAGTATAACAACTTCCTCGAGTCGAGAATTAGGGTAGATTAGAAGCTTTCCTTCCAAATTGTGAGAGCATACAAGCCTTTCTTGCAAAGGGAAAGGATGGATGTTCAAGGTTTCTGAAGTTGGTGTACCATCCAAGCTGCCGATAACATCAATGGCGAATTCGAGTAGATTAACATGGTTGGGGATGCAATGGCCAGCAGAATTGAGTCTTTGTTGGAGAAGATGCAATGATCCATTATGCATGACAGTGCCATTGGAAAGCAGAATAATGCGGTCGAATATCTCTAGGATTCGAAAACCAGGTTGGTGAATGGTCAGAACAATAGTCTTGCCTTGATTGACAACCATAGTTTTGAGCAAGGACACTACATGGAAAGCTGAGGCAGAATCCAGCCCTGAAGTTGGTTCATCAATCAAAATCACACCTGGATCATGAACTAAATCAACTCCAATCGAAACTCTGCGCCTTTCCCCACCCGAAATGCCATTATTGGATCCCCAACCAATTCTTGAAGCTGCAACATGCTCCAACCCAAGCTCCTTCATCAGCTGTCTCACTTTAGATGCAGCCTCTTTTCTCCCACCATGAAGCCTTAGCAGAGCACTAAACATGAGTGTTTCTTCAACTGTAAGTAATGGGAATAGGGCATCATCTTGTGTGACATATCCCGATATTCTCCGAAAACTTTTGGTGTCCATAGGCTGATCATTAACCAGCACTTGACCACAAACTTTCTTTGGAGATATCTTCCCAGCAAGAATCTCTAGCAGTGTGGTTTTTCCAGCCCCACTAGGACCAGCAATTGCAGTGATCTCTACAGGCCTTGCTTCACAGTTTACATCCTTCAAAATGAAACTTGGAACCCTCCTTGAAGTAGCACAACACACAAACTTCATTTCATCAAATTGGGTACATAATTTGTAGCCCAGATTTCTTGTTTCAATTATGTATGGTGTTGTTATCTGGCCACCAGAAACCGGCATTGTCACTGGCAATTCCATGGAGCAGAAGAGTGAAAGGGGAGAGAGAAATGGGATATTTTGTGGGCTTGTGTGAGGAAATGGAAGAGATGAGCTAACACACCAAATTGGGTGTTGCTGCACAAGTTAAGCTCAGAGAAGAAGCCAGCTTTGATATTTTTGTGATGCATGGGGGGCTTAGGTAGTTTGAGATAACATGTATTTGACTTGGTGTTGCTCTCTTTTTTTCTATGTTCTTGTTGGCAAACATAACTTCTGATGGGGTTTGGAGAGTTGGAGGAGGGCTTAAAGAAAACCAAAGAAAGAAAGTACATAATTCACATTGGGAAGTTTTTTCAGGTAAGCTGATTATTGACTGTGTAGGGTTGGTGTTGGTTGCTCGGCAGTTTGGTGGGAAATTTGCTAATTTGACCAATTCGGCAATTACAACAATAGAGTTGCCAACTTTGGTTTCCTGGGCCTTAGCCAAACTACCATATGAAGATCAAGCTTGTGCACTTTCTACTATTGGCTAACTTCTATCGATCTCATGCTTATTGGAAGACAACGAAAATTCCATTAAGAAAAATAATTTAGGGAATTTTTTTTTTCTAATAAAATTATACAAATTTCAACTCTCTAATGTAACATTAGATTTCCCAACAAATTAAAAAAAAGAAAATTAAAACAAATAAAACATAAGTGAATTAATCATGAGTTTTTCTATTTAAACCCCGCAGTTCTCTTTGTTCATCCCATATTCTAAGTTCACCTCAACTTGTAATTCAAATTTTCACAATTTCTAAGAAAACCCTATTATCTTCCCAAATTACCCCTAAATACACACTCATAAAACAAAATAAAAATAAAAAACTCATCAACCTCTAAAGTTGGATGACATTTTTTGTCTTTTTATACAATAATAAAAATTAAGAGTTTAATGATTTAAATATTGGGGTGAGCACAAAAAAAGTGAAGGATTTAAATAGAAAAACTCTTAATCATCTATGGCAACTTGCCAGGAGATAGTAATTTGATATGAAATGGTTAATGATTTTGCAATGATCTCAATTAGCTATGAAATGGATGATAATTTTGCAATTTGATAGAATTACTGCTAGAATCTTGAGAAGACTTATCAAATAAAAGTTCGTGTTGCAGGTATGGGAACACCATGAGAGGGGGCAGCTGGTGGAGTTATTAGACACAGCATTGAATGGAATATTCAATGTTGAGGAGGCTTGCAGATTCCTAAAGATTGGCCTACTCTGCACTTATGACATGCCCAAGCTCCGACGATCCATGTCTACTGTTGTTGAGATGCTGACAGGTGAAAGAGATGTGAATGAGGAGAAGATATCCAAACCAGTACTGCTTTCTGAATTCATGGATCAAGACAGAAGGCCATAGAGATAAGGCCAACGCAAGACCTTCATCTTACACGGTATCTGCCTCAGGGAGGTTCATCAATACATCATCTTCATCAGAAAACATAACTGCTTCATTTGCTACTATGACCTTCAATTCTGTGTACGACCGAAACAATCAGGACAGACAGAATCTCTTTTTGGTTATTGTCTGGTTTGATTGATCATCCTAAAAAGAATATACAAAAGAATTTAAAGGAGAAATAACATTAACAATTGTATATCCTTGTGTAAGAACTATCTAGCCAGTTTCTGTTTCTGCAGCATCTGCACCACAGAATGAGAAAACAAAGCACTCTATAACCCTGTTGTCTTAAGAATCCATCCCCAAATAGATTGCATCCATCTTTGTCAATCTGTATGCACCGTCTTCCCTGCACGTCTCCACACTCATGTATCATAAAACACTCAAAAGGGTACTTAGTACCAACCCAGCTACCAAGGCTTGTATGACTCTTGTGACAAACAGTTGCTTGGTTCTAAATATGTTGCTGCAAAATCTTTTTCCTAGTATAACAACTTGCTCAAGTTGAGAATTCGGGTAGATTAGAAGCTTTTCTTCCAAATTGTGTGAGCATACAAGCCTTTCTTGTAAAGGGAAAGGATGGCTGTTCAAGGCTTCTGAAGTTTGTGTACCATCCAAGCTATCGGTAACATGAATTACGAGTTTGAGCAGATTAACATGGTTGGGAATGCAATGGCCAGCGGAATTGAGCATTTGTTGGAGAAGATGCAGTGATCCATTATGCATGACTGTCCCATTGGAAAACAGAATAATTTAGGATTGGAAAACCAGGTTGGTGAATGGTCAGAACAAGTCTTGCCTTGATACATGAAAAGCTGAGGCAGAATCCAGCCCTGAAGTTGGTTCATCAATCAAAATCACAGCTGGATCATGAAATAAATCAACTCCAATTGAAACTCTGC